CTTTCTGCTTTTCTCCTACGCTCAGCTGCCTTCCAAAGATGCAGTACAGTGGCATTTCCTGGAAGCTCAGCCAGGAAGAGACGATAAACTGAAAACCAAACCAAGCCCCAAAGCTTCTTGACCCTAGAGAATTTCTAGAGTGATAAAAAGGTAGATACGAAGGCTGGTTTTGTTGTGTAGACAACTGTTTCCCCCTTATTTTGATTTGTCTTGCTGGTTTAGAGATTTCAGCTTATGCAAAGCTTTTGACTGGACATATTGTCTTCATTAACTAATTAGGGTGCCTTCTGGGTCCCTTTGCTTGCATTTCTTGAAAGTGAATTCAGCAGGAGCCTTTGTTAGAGGATGTAGTACTAAGCATATGCAGAATGTTAAAAAAAATATGGAGTAATTAAGTAGCAGCAAGTCCCATTCAAGAAAAAAAATGCTCATAGTATAGTTGTCGTGGATGCAGAGTATACGGTTAGCCCAGCTATCAAGGAAGGCTAACAGACATCCATTATATTTGAGATGAAACATATGTAGACATACTAAATTTGAGATGTATTAAAAAACACATGATAGGAAAGTCTTCCTTCCATCTAAATTACATTGTGAAGAGAAGAGGACAGGAGAAAGACACAGGAAGCCCCCTAGTTTCTTAAACACAGACACTCATTTAACTAATAATAGACCAGATGAGAAAGACACAGGGAGGGTGTATAAACACTGATTAAATGCTGTCAACTTGATCTTGATTTTCAGTGACTTTCTCAAGGACGATCTGACCTCAACCCAGCTTTTTAGGTCTCTCAATGCACTACGCTTCAGAGCTTGTAGATTATTTGCATTTACATTCTCAGTATCAGAGTAGTGCCATCAGCATAGCACAGGTTACTGATGTTTTTTCCTCCAATTTGAAAGCCATTTTTCCTTCTTCCAATCTTTCCATATTACATATTTAGCACATAGGTTGAATAAATAATAGGAGAGTGTATAGCCTTGTAGGTTTGCTGACCTGTAGGTATTCTGTTTCGCCATATTCCCTCTGGTCTGTGGCTTCCTGACCTCTGTATAGGTTTTGCTTGCAGATAATGAAATGTTCTGGGATTCCCATTTTCTTAAGCACGTTCCCCAGCTTCATGGGTCAACCTAATCAAAGGCCTTTCTGTAGTCAATGAAGCACACATTGACTTCTCCTTGGTACTCCTTGGCTTTCTCAATTCTCCAGAGTGAATCAGCAATAATGTCTCTTGTTCCTTGGCCTTTTTCTAAAACCATCTTGAATATCTGGAATTTATCTTTCAATACAGAGCTCTAATCTGCATTGAATTATCCTAAATATTATTTTATGAGCATGTAAAATTAAGAATATTGTGCAATAGTTTGCATAATGGTACTGGTATGTAGACTCTTCCAATCTCTTGACTAGTGTATCATTCTCCAGAATTTCTGGCATTGTTTGATCAGAACCTTTATTGATTTTTCTGTAGAAATTCCACCAAAACCTGTAGACTTCTGACTTGGTAATGGCCTGAGTGCAGATCTAACTTCCTCTTTGTCTTGATATCTTGGATGTTGACATCCTCACTGCACGGGATTTCAATATACACCTTTCATCTCTGATTCTTTTTGAATCAGTTCCTATCTGTCCATTGGCATCCTTTAGCATACCAGTTTGAGGCTGGAAGCTCCTTCTGTGTTTGGAGATCTTTTGGCATACTTTCCTTGGTTTCTTTCCATGAAAAAATGACTGTTTCCTTCTTCAATTCTTTACAGATGCTATAATACTGTTCCTTGTCTCTTCTAACAGCCTTCTGAAATGCTTTGTAAAATTCCTTTCTGAGATGTTTCTCTTTCTTGGTTTTGGCTTCTCTTGTCTTCCTGGCAATTTCCACAGTTTGTTCTGACATCCCGTTTGCTTTCTTCTGTTTCTTGGACTTTTGTAGTCTCTTTTCACATTCTTCCATAACAACTTCTTTGATTTCATTCCATAATTCCTTTGGTTCCCTATCAATCAGGACTACAAAGTGATTTCTGATGTTCTCCTTGAAAATGGTGGGTATATGCTCAAGATCATATTGTGGAAACTCGCTGGCTTTGTTCTTATGCTTTAGCTTGACTTGGAACTTGCACATGATCTGTTCCACAATCACTCCATGGCCACATCTTTACTGTTATAACTGAGCTCTTCCACCTTCTAGTATTAATAATATAGTCTATTTGATTTCTGTGTGCTCCAATTGATATTATTTGGTCATTGTACTCAAGTGCTGTCTTTGCTATATCCTTCTTATGAAAGCAACACCATTCCTTCTTTGATTTTCTTGTCCTGAGTAGTAATCCATCTCTTGCCATTTGCCCAGTGGCCAAAAAGCTTATAGCTGCAACAAAATGATGCAGTTTCCAACAACAGCTCCTTTTGGAAGCTGGTACAAATCATCCAGAAAATGCCACATGAAAGAGGGCTACATTCAGAACTACTGAATTTACTAAGAAGAAACCACACTTCAAATTTAGGGGTTAAATGCAAACTCTTTGGTATCTTCCCCAAATGTTTTGTACTATAACTTCTATCAGCAACACATACAGCTGCTACTGTACACAAAATAGCCCAATAATGTATATCATTTGTAGTATACTGTATAGGTTATTCTTTCTTTATTGGATTTATAGATCATCAACTCTATTAAAACGCATGGTGGCTTATAAGTGGAAATTAAAACATCTTTGGTGTAACATCAGTATAAACAGTTAGGCATCCACGATCACTTACATACAAGAAAACATTAAAATGTCTGTGGTAAACTAACAAAAATCAACCCATACAATTATAACATAATTAAAATGTATAATAATCTCCTTATAATCACATGATAGGTTAATTTACCATAAGACTGGCAACATTCATCTGCCAAAGGCTGATCAAACACTCCTGTGATCTTTTATTGTTGCTCAATTACCTTGGCCTGCCTCTATAAATTGGAATTCTTTCAGACTCACTGGAGTTAGTTCTCCTGGAATTTTTAGTAAACGGAAATGCCCAGTGTTTTTTATTTGATCAGTAGAAAAGGCACAAGACCATTCACATCTAATTTGTCCTGAGACAAAAAACACAATATTTGCAATTATAGAAAAATGGTCTACTTAAAGACAAAAAGCTAATGTTGACAGATCTGGGCAGTTAATTGTTCTTTGATCCATGAGCTCTGGCCTAATGGCAAATTTTCCAGAAGCATGTGAGAATTCTACCAATATCCAGATCAAGAAATTAATGAAACAAAAGGCTGTAGTGAAGAGTCATGGCTAAAAAAAAGGGGGACAAGAAATCAGACATTTACTCAACTCAGCTTAAGCTTTCTGTATTGTCTGAATCTGGGTGAGAGGGTTAATCTGTGATTATCCCTTCCTTTGAGCCATCATACACCGAGACAAATTACTAGAATGGCTGCAAAACAGAACCATTCTAGCTGCAATATCTTTTTCTTCCTTTAAGAACAAAATCAAAGCCTTCACAGATCCATGGGAGGTTGACATGAAGGGAGGGGGTCAAATGCTTCCCCTCCCCAATCCCTTATCCATCCAGAAATTTTTATGTTTGTGAACTTTAAATTAGCCAGGCACTACAAAAGTATCTGATCTATGGGTAAAAACAGCTGTTATCCATGGTTTGGGACAAACCTAACTAAGCATATTATGAAATCAAACTTGCAGCACATCATTATAACTTTTGTTGGATTGGCTCCCTCTTGAGGGAGAACAATGAACCTAGTTTGTATGCATTCTATCAACCAGGAAAAATCAGTTGTAAGAAACCGTGGTTTTATTTTACTCATGATACAGAATATAGCCTAGTACAAATCATGGGCGTTGCTTAATGGGGTTGATTAATGGGGTTGGTGTATTAATGCATAATTGTATGGGGGGGGGCTGTTTTGTTTGATTTGTGTTTTTTATAAGATCGTTTTAGTCTGGGCTTTTGGATGTTTTATCCGTTTTTATGGATTTTCCCAGTTTTGTGCACTGCCCAGAGTCTCCATTGGAGTTGGGCAGCTAAGAAATTTGAACGAAGTGTTCTAGCAGCAAACAGTCCCAATTCCAAAACAGCAACCATCTTGGAAGATATGTCAGCCACTTGTGCACTAGCTGGCCGGCAGTTCCCCCACCCTTAATAAACAAACAAATTCATAATAGCTTATCAGTCCAGAAGAGAGATATTAAACCCACAAAGCTGGGAAAGATCAAGGAACCAAGTATTACCAAGACTTTAGAAATATCTTTAATTCTACTTATTTTATTGTATATTTTTTTATTCAACTTGTATCTTTTAGTGTGCCACACATAAAGAAACAGGTGAATTGTAGTTGTAGCCACCATCTGGACTTTTTTTGCTGGTAGACATCCAGTAGAACATCTCTGGTAGAACAACTGCTGAAGTAAGGGTGCTCTAACCCCTGCATACATTGTCATGTTTTTATCTGCCTGGCTGTGCAAGTAGGGTAAAATGAGACAGAAAGGGGGTAAGAGAAAATTAAGCCTTCTATCACTCCATTTCTATCAGTGCTTGTCCAGAGTTTTGCAATTTGGATATGGGAATTGGAGATGCTAGATCACTGGAAAACTCACTAACTATTGTTTGATACCTGACTGGATCATATGTGTCAGAGAAGAAAAGTATCAACAGAAAACAATCAGGTCTGGTGCCATCAAGTAACTATAGTGTATGATGTCATTATCTACACAATACGCACCAAATAAGTTAACAGCAATTTGTTATTGCTTTGAAAAATCACCAGATAATTATTGCTAACTTTCCTTTTCAAAAGTTCTGACTATTCAGCCTTTGTGCCTTGATTAACTTATAGAGCACTCACATCCTTACTCACACCTACTTGATTCTTCCCTTACCACCCACATATCAACTCAGTAATTTAATCTTGTCTTTTTAATCATTTTATTGATAAGAGAAACCATTTGAAATGGTTTAAGCAAAACAAAAAAAACCCCATATATATATTGTACAAAGGACATATTTTAAAAAGATAAAATCACTGCATAGTTTAACAAGCATATTTTCCAATTCTGAAGATGTTACAAATACAGGCATTGCAAACAGATATTATAGAAGTGGTTCACATGCCATACTTTAAAAGTACACTGAAATATTGTCCATGCTCCTGTTCTATGGAGAAAAAGTAGAATTATGTTATAGGAAAGAAAATATGGAAAGAAAGTAATGGAGGGTAATAATCTTCCATCTATAGCTGTTTAGCCAAGAGTAAACCTCACTGAACCCAGTGAGACTAAATTCTGAGTAAATGCACAGAGAACTGTCAGTTTCTTCTAGAGCAATGTTTCCCAAATACATTCATCCATGGAACATTTTATGATTTTGAACAGGTTGCCAGAAAAAGGAAATTGATTAGAACTTTTTAAACAGATGAAACTTTGAATCCATAAGAACTAATAGTAACAAATCTCAAATTGTCTTACAAGTGTTGGTCAAGCAGTGGATTGGCCCAGTCAAATGCTGGAATCGTTTCACCTGGTGCGAAGACCCAAAATCACACACAAGTGGGGAAACTGCAACCTGTTTATTCTATACAGCAATAAAGAGGCACTCTCGGGGACCCAAGTCACAAAGGACATATTTAAGAAACATAAAATCAAGCGCTGCCTTGACTGCCCATTTCTTCACACAAAAATCTTGAATGGGATGACTGATTTGCTTTCTGTTGATCACAAATCTGCTTTTGGAATATTACCAAAAAAAAAAAAAAGGTGGCTTGTAATCCATAATGAGACTAGGACTTCCTATCTTATCAGAGAAAAATTAAAATGGCTGCTGCTTTTACATTTGCTGCCTTTTGAAGCCAAAAATCTTTGGGGGGAAAAAACAAAGAAACATGAATTCTCCCTCAGCCAATCATCCAACCAAAAGTTATCGTTTGCCATTTAATCAAGGAATCAATGAACATTTTCAGTGGGATATGTTCAGCACCTGCAACTTTTGTTCCTTATATGTCTATATCAGAACGTGCAATATTCTGGAAAGCCTTTAACTTTACCTTTTTATACAGTGCTAGAACAGGCAACACAATTTCAACAACAATGTCTTTTAAAAAATTTTCAGATTTAGCAAAGGAATCATCAGCTTGTACCACCTGAAAAAATCCGCCAGAGGATATAACTTCAGAATATTGAACATCTAGAACAGCCATGTTAAACTGCAATTCAAATACCACATTCTTTTTCAGATTTTTTGAAACAGTAAGATCTCTTTTATCCTGCAGAATTGTTAGAATACAATACTCTGAGTCATCTGGCAATTTGAATTGTATTACATCCTGAGCTATGAAGCAGCAGTATGCTTTGTGCTCATGCATGACAATGTAGTTTAAAAGGATTTCCTCCGGATTATTCTCTTTCTTTTTTTCATACCATTTTTTGATGGCCGTTCCTGAATCTTCATATGGCCCATTTCCTTCTATCGTGTTATTCTCCTTAATACTAGAATTCATTCCCAGGTTCAATTCATTCCCATGTTCATTGTTACCACATTCATTCAGTTCATTCAATTCACTTCCATGTTCTTCATTCCCACATTCACTGAATTCATTCCCATGTTCATTCAATTCATTCCCATGTTCTTCATTCCCATGTTCAATTACATGAGTCTTGAACTTTTTTTCATTTTCAGTCCCATATATATTTTCATCTGGTTCATCATCATCATCATCCGGAATATTAAGAGATTGGTTCTCTTTCAAGTTAATAGTGCCTTCCCTCTGCCTTTGTTCCTGGGCTTTTTTTTTATGGTTGTTTTTTTTCATACAGAACATAATGTCAAGAAGTTTCTTAGATATCTTTTGTGATTTCTTACGACTATGGACATTTTCCACAAATGCATTCAGGTCAGTGTTTCTAAACAGTTCATAATACTTTTGAGCAGTAAATGAAAAAGATTTATTCAGCACACTACACATCAGCCTTTTTTTCAGCATCTGAAATTCACCACGTTCCAGGATCTGTTTTAGGCGCGCTATTAGTTGGTCCTGATTCTTTATTGCATAGTCTTGCAGATCAAAAAGTGTGTATTTACCTAGAGATGGGGAAAACATGCATAAATGACAGCTTTAAAGCATTGCAATAAAATTCTAAGTTGTCATGAAAAACAAGTCTTACAGATTGGGCAATGTCAAAAATCAGGGTTTATTTCATGATTCATAGGTGATAATAACTAAAATATTATTCAACAGCAACGCTGCATGAACAGATCTATATTATTTGTTTCTCT